GCGTGCCCCATGTGCAGGTCTGCTGTTGCTGAGGTGTCTAGGGACATCCTCTGATCGTCATGTTGGAAGTGTGGAAAAAAGGTGAAAGTACTCTGGATGTGAAAGCGTGGTCTTGTGGTATGATTGGCATGGCAAAATTAAGGAACCTGGTAGGGATCGTAGTTCCTTGCAGTTGTAAGTACTAAGCAGGAGGTAGTGATTGATGTAGTTGAGAATGTTCCCTATTTGTCTTGTGGTAACTTGCGTGTATGGATGCCGACTCAAGTCATATGCCCAGTAATGTGAAGATAGTATCTGGGCCTTCTGTTTCTTATGGGGTACTGGGACGCCCAAGTGGTCAACCAGACTAAGCTGCCGTGAGGCTTCTAGTGAAAAATATGCTTTCTTTGATTAACAAGAAGTCTTCTAGATAGTGTATGACTGTAAGGTCTCTGGATATGTTATCATAACCAGCACAGAGTATCTGCGAATATCGATAGTAGGCTAATCTGTAGCTCGAAAGTTGAGCGGGGAAAGGATTGCCCAATTTATGCCATGTAAGTGCCAGTGTGTAGGGTAGATGGTAGCTGTTTACTGCGTTGATATTGGTCTTACTTAACCAAGCTTCAACCCATGCTTGAGTGATAGCTGTAAAGGTAGATCAATGGTGTTGTATAGTAAGAAAAATCCTCGGAGGGTATGAGGGAGTTGAGACTTGGGGTAGCGGAGGTGTGTGGTGCCAATAAGTCTATGGTTAGTCTTTGTTTAAGGGAAGATTCCTTGTGACAATACCAATGTGTGTGTTTGGTGCCATGCTGTAAATGGTGGAGATTGGAAGACCCCTCTGCAAATCTTGGCTATGAGTGTGTTTACAGCCAATGGTTTTGTTGTGCTGACTGTAAGTGAGGGCATGCTATATTCCTTGAAGGTGTGTTTATGATACCTGTATGGGAGCCCTTTGAAGCTCCAGAGCTTTAGTAAATCTACTACAAGTCTGGAAGGGTGATGAGTCAGTAGTGTTGAAAATGCATTGGTGTGTACAGATGGTGAATACGTTATTTGTAAGTTGTATTGGGACACATGGTTTGTCATGTGCCCTGAACTATTTGAACATATATGCAACAGTCTGTATGCAATGCAACTACTCATATCAGTGGTCTCTGGTAGTTCAGAGGTGCTGGTACCTGGAGCCTGAGAGTGCTCGTCCATTTGTTTGGGACAAAATCCCTTCTGTATGGGTACCTGCACAAATAAACATCTCCACATATTCCAAATGCCAACCCAACCAAGGGATGGTCAGTTCCTGATTTACCTGGAACCCCTGGATCTGACCATCACAGATACATCATCATACATATATATGCCTTGCTTCCCCAATGTGCTGGGATCATACGTGCAGGTTTAACATCTTGTGTGTCATAAGAATTGATTGTACCAGGTAACCGAGTTTCGGTTGGTGCTGGTTGTACAGTAGCGTGAGGCCCAGCCTTGTGAGGGCTGTGGTGACCAACTCGAGATTGCCAGTCTGTCATAAATTTTTTGGCTCATGAGTTTATGAGTGAAGCTAGCATAGCCTGGGTGTCACCTGAGTTGATGTAGCTGGGCCTTCCCCTGCCTCCGTGTTGTCCGTTGATGTATGGAGGAGTTTGAATAACTGCTTTCCTTGCTGTAGCAGGGTAGGGGATTTGTCACCTCCTTAGGTCGGTGGTAATGTGTGGGATCGTCCAGGATCTGATTGCTGCTGGACTAGCAACATCTCCTCTGCTTGAAGGTGTATCAATTCTAGCCGGGGTGCTAGGAAGAGGTGATTCTTCACCATCTTTTTGAGAAATACTTAAATAACAATAAAGATTGCAATTATTATTTGTACCCAGGGTTCTTGTACTGGCTTGCTAGCTAAGCCGTAAGGCGAAACGATTAGGCTTGGTGTTTTTTGGTGACTGGTGAGGCCCTGCTAGTTGCCAAGTGGCTTGAGAGGCTCTATCTATGCTTGGCGCGAGGGGATTTTGTGTGGCCACCGAACGTTGTGGCAGGATGTTGGCCTCTCGGTGACAGTAACCAGAAAATAGGAAGGGGAGTGACAGGTGAGGTCCTCTCTATGATACAATGCGAGGCGGCTAGCTCACGAGTGGCCCGAGGGGTGTATGCCTCCGAGTGTGAGGCGGGGTGTTGGCCTCGCGGGACCACTAACCGAAGCATAATGCAGAGAAAAAAGGGGGTAATACCTATTGGGCCCTAGAACCCTAATTGCCAGTACACTATTACTATTCCAGGGAAGGTAAGAGATGGATAACTACGTGAGCAGGTGTATGTACCTGGTAGTATGGTATTGAACCTGACAATCCGTATAGGTTTTTTAGTAGTAACTGTAACCTGAATGGATAAAACCGTATGGCATAAGGAAATATGGCATAGACCAAGCTTATCTTAATACGTACAGTATATGTGAAAAGTAAAGTGACGTGATGTGTAAATATTAAACATCGTAGCCATACTGGTTAAATATGTATCAATCTTAACCCATTAAGTGCCGTATGTACAAGTGAAAATGTGGTCTGTCCCCACCTTGTATGTTGTATGTCCCCTTGCTAGGGGAAAGTCTGTTGCGTGAGCAGCGTGCTGTGAAAAATGTATGTGAACTATATTACCAGTTACATATATACAGATGCGTCTGCTACTGTGTAATAATATATGTATTTATACCAGATGTTGATATAGTGCTTGCTATGTGAATTGTTGTATGTCTTATTGAATGGTAGGGGTCAGTGAACATGGTGTTGCAAAATGCAAGTGCACTGGAGATCTGCCGAGTGCCCTATAGGTGGCAGTGTAGTTGGATACTGATTGGTATGTGAAATGTTGTTTGTCTGTTGACCTATAGGTGTCAGTGTTTTGGTGTTTGTAAAACCCCATGAAAATTGTCAATGTACTTGACAGACCTGTAGGTGGCAGTGTTGATAGAACCACTGTTGGTCTTGATGTGAAATGTAAATTATTGTGAATTAAACCTGAAGTTGAGCCCGTGCTGGAGTTTAATTTATGGTCTATAGTTATGTTTAAAACAATCTTATGTGTAATTTATATTGGCTGGTAAATTGTATATGACATGTGAAGACAGTTTTGCTGTTGACCAGTAGGGGTCAGAAATGCTGATTGTATGTTAAAATACCCTTTAACCCCTTAAGGACCAAACTTCTGGAATAAAAGGGGATCATTACATGTCACACATGTCATGTGTCCTTAAGGGGTTAATGCTACCATTTGACAGATAGGAGTCAGTATAAAAGCGAAAATGCTGTAGTTAGTTTGTTTGCTTATGAAGTGGAATAAAATCTGAGAAGCCTGTAGTATACTGATTGACCGGTAGGGGTCAGCATGTAGGCGAAAATGCCGTGGTTAGTTGGTTTGTACATGAAATGCAATAATGTCTGAGAAGCCTGTAGTACACTGAATGACCGGTAGGGGTCAGTGTGTAGGCGCAAATGCAGTGGTTCGTTGGTTTGTACATTAAATGCAATAATGTCTGAGACGCCTGTAGTACACTGAATGACTGGTAGGGGTCAGTGTGTAGGTGAAAATGCAGTGGTTTATTGTTTTGTACATGAAAAGCAAAAACGTCTAAGAAGCCTGTAGTACACCGAATGACTGATAGGGGTCAGTGTGTAGGTGAAAAATGCAGTGGTTTGTTGGTTTATACATGAAATGCAATAATGTCTGAGAAGCCCGTAGTACACCGAATGACCGGTAGGGGTCAGTGTGTAGGCGCAAATGCAGTGGTTCGTTGATTTGTACATGAAATGCGATAATATCTAAGAAGCCTGTAGTACACTAAATGACCAGTAGGGGTCAGTGTGTAGGCGCAAATGCAGTGATTCGTTGATTTGTACATGAAATGCAATAATGTCTGAGAAGCCTGTAGTACACCAAATGACCAGTAGGGGTCAGTGTGTAGGCGCAAATGCAGTGGTTCGTTTATTTGTACATGAAATGCGATAATGTCTAAGAAGCCTGTAGTACACCAAAAACCGGTAGGGGTCAGTGTGTAGGTGAAAATGAGGTGGTTTATTGGTTTGTACATGAAAATGCAAAAAACGTCTAAGATGCCTGTAGTACACCGAATGACCGATAGGGATCAGTGTGTAGGTGAAAAATGCGGTGGTTGGTTGGTTTTTACATGAAATGCAATAATGTCTGAGAAGCCGGTAGTACACCGAATGACCGGTAGGGGTCAGTGTGTAGGCGAAAATGCAGTGGTTCGTTGGTTTGTACATGAAATGCAATAATATCTAAGAAGCCTGTAGTACACCCAAAGACCGGTAGGGGTCAGTGTGTAGGCGAAAATGCAGTGGTTCGTTGGTTTGTACATGAAATGCAATAATGTCTAAGAAACCTGTAGTACACCCAAAGACCGGTAGGGGGTTTAAACGAATGATATGCATGAACATGCAATGGTTTTAGAACAGACATAGACAAAATGCAGCCGTAAAGTGAGGACCTGACCCGTGCATGGTGCCGTGGGACCAGGCCCGGACTGGCCATCGGGCACAGCGGGCAAATGCCCGGTGGGCCGCGGTGGCCATGGGCCGAGGCCGGCAGGGGAGGTCCCAGGATCTCCCCTGCCGGTCTATGCAGGGCCGGCGCTCGCATAGCGCCGGCCTCGCTGTTTGCCATGGAGGCGATTAGGAGATCTGGAATACCCTCACCGGCCATTCGCTGAACCTGCGGCGCAGGGGAGGACCGGCGGGCTCTATCTTACAGCTCCCGCTCCTCAGCGAGATCGGGAAGGCGTTGCCATAGCAGCGCTGCGTCTCGCGAGTGGCTCAGCCTTCAGGCTGGAAGTTCACTCACCACTGAACCACCAGGGTGATGTGGTATTGCGGTCCCCCCCCCTCCTCCTGAACACCGCATTACTTGCAATCCCCTCCCCGGGCTAAAAGGCCAGGGAGATATATGCCTGCCAGTTGTTTTAATTTCTTTATTTACCCCTCCGCCCAGTTTTTATTTGTTTATTTACCCCCACACACACACACACACATCATACACAGCACTCTCACACATTGCACTCTCACACACATCATACACAGCACTCTCACACATTGCACTCTCACACACATCATACACAGCACTCTCACACTCAGCACTCTCACATTCAGCACTCACACACATCATACACAGCACTCTCACACTCAGCACTCTCACATTCAGCACTCACACACATCATACACAGCACTCTCACACACATCATACACAGCACTATCACACACAACACTCTCACACACAGCACTCTCACACATCACTCTCAAACACATAACACTCAGCATTCACACTCAGCACTCACAACACTCTCACACACATCATACACAGCACCCACACACACAGCACCCTCACACAAATCAATCACATACAGCACCCACACATACAGCACCCTGACACACACAACACCCTCACACAGCACCCACACCTCACACACAGGATCCATCACACACACATACTGCACCCCTCACATACACACACAACCCCCCGATACACTGCATCACACACATACACAATACTTCCAAACATATTTATATAATATATATACACATATAAATATACACACAGCACCCCGCACACACACACAGCACCCCTTCATTCCAGACACACACTAGATCCTCTACCCAACTCTGGATCATCTACACACATACACACTAGATCCCTATATACACTCTGAATCCATTATATACGCACGCTCACTAGATCTCCTATACATATTCTGGGTCCTTCAAACACACACACTCTGGATCCCCTTTACGCACACTAGATTCCTTGTAAGCAAACACATACTACATTCCCTGAACACACACTCTCTACAAACACTACATCACCTACACACACACACACACACACACACACACACACACACACACACACACTATAGCCTGTATACACACACTTGCTACATCCCCTAAAAACACATTCTCTAAAGCCCCTAGCCACATATGCATTAAATTACACCACAAACACAACACGACTAAAACCGACCTTATTACACAATACCACAACCAGCTCACTCTGCACACACGCAATACCCCAAGCAGGCTCCAAACACATGCACAATACTCTTTCCTGGCCCTTTTGACTCCTGGTATCCATTTATAGAGACACCAGAGACAAGTTGCAAGGAAACACAGTGCAAGCGCAGGACTTGTTTTTTTTTTTTTTGTATAAGTTATTAAATTTGCTTGCACTGCGCAGAACAAATACAGGGCTTTTTTCTCATGCTAGAGCTCTTCAGCAGAGCTCTGCGCATGATCTGCCGTGGAAGAGAATTGAACCAACATGCTCACTTTGAGAGGGGGCGTGTTTGTCATGAGTGATGACAAAACACACCCTCTTTGCCCCGCCCCCTTCTTAGTGGGCCGCTGTGATAAAAAAAATGCCCGGGCCGAATTTTTTTCCCAGTCCGGCCCTGCGTGGGACTGATGCCTGGCGTAACGGGTAGGTCGACTTACGGTTTGTGAGTCACTTGGACACAATCCACAGCGATGGATTGAAGAAAGAAGGTGGTAGGCCGGAAAAGCCTGTGGCTGGATTCCTGACACAGCTCTGCTTAGAAAACCTCATGGAGTAATCAGGTAAAATGGCGTCTGGATGACCCAGAAGTGGAAATCATTCTGATGCTGACCTCAAGCGATATGAGTCAGGAAAGGGGTGTCCCTTATATAGGGGAGTGAATTAATTTAAGCCCCTCCCACAAATACAGGCAAAACTGCCTTAATACATATATTTATATATACACACACACACACACTACAGCCAGGGCCGGTGCAAAGAATTTTGGGTACATAGGCGAAGATCCATTTTTCCTCCCCCCCCCAAAAACATATTCGCCCATGTGCCTCTTAACCTCCCTTTTGTGTTTCTTATCCCGTCTTTTAAATATCTGACTCCCTTTAGTGTATTTTATCTCCTATTTTTGCCTTTGTGTGTCTCCTATCTCTCCTCTGTGTCTTTTATTCTTCCCAGCTCCTTTGTGTGTCTCTTTCCTTCTCAAGCCCCGCTGTGTGTTTCTTTTACATCCAGCCCCTCTCCCTGTCCCTTAATGGTCCCCTCCCTTCTCTGACCCTTACTGTTCCTCTCCCTTCTCTCCTCCTTTCCCTGTTCCTCAGTGTTCCTTTCCCTTCCCCCCTCCTTTCCCTGTCCCTTAGTGTTCCTCTCCCCTCCCCCCTCTGTTCCCTGTCGCTTAGTGTTCCTCTCCCCCTCCCTCCTTTTCCTGTACCTTAGGGTATCTCTCCCCTCTTCTCCATGTCCCTTGGTGCGCCACCCACCCCCATAGTGGTCCCCTCCCCTTCCTGGTGTGCCTCCTACCTTTCTTGTAGCGTGGCTGAGCGGAGCGGAGCGAATCCCGGTACAGTGAGCTTTTCCTGTCAGTCCTGCTAGGTACAGGAAACAGAAGTTCCTGTACCACGGTACACTCCGCTTGGCCACGCTACAGTCAGGGGTGTAGAAACACTGACAGTCACACACACTCAATGACAAACACACAGACATCTCTGACAGCCAGACTCACTTAGCTGACACTCATTCATTGACAGACACAAACACTGACAGACTCATTGACAAACACACACACACACAAACTCACAGACACTGACAGACACATGTACTCACATGCACACACGCACATACTGACAGACACTCACTCACACACACACACTGACAGAACCACACACACACACACATATTCACATACACACACACACACAGACAGACACACACACACACACACACACACACACACACACACACACACACACACACACACACACACACACACACACACACACTGACAGACACACTCACTCACATACTGACAGACACACATACACACACACACTGACTGACAGACAGACACTCACACACACACTCACACACACTGACAGACACACATACACACACTCTGACAGACACACTCACTCACACACTGACAGACACACTCACACACTGACAGACACACATACACACACTGACTGACAGACACACTCACTCACATGCACACACACTAACAGTAATTAATCATCTAAATTAAATTAAAATTTCCCACCCAGCCTCCCTACCTGGAGAGCTGGCGTGGGTCTCTCATTGGTGGTCCAGTGGGGCTGCTGGGAGGCGTGCGGCTGAACTGGATGCCGAGGTGGCGAGGGAGCTCTGATCTCTCTGATCTGCTCCCTCGCAGGCTGCTTACTGCTGCCGCGGGAGCCGGAATATGACGTCATCAGTAAACAGCCTGCGAGGGAGCAGATCAGAGAGATCAGAGCTCCCTCGCCACCTCGGCATCCAGTTCAGCCGCACACCGCGCCGGGGATCCAGGAGGTGACCTGGCAGGAGGGAGCACTTCCCTCCTGCCGGTCACTGGAATTTTTCGCCCCCAGAGCCGGTGCGCCCTAAGGCGGCCGCCTGTGCCGCCTTATGGACGCGCCGGCCCTGACTACAGCACCCCTCACACTGCACCACTACACACATTACGCTCCAAATACACTCTAGATCCCTTACCCTATATGCACTCTTAATCCTCTACACACATACACACACACACACACAATCTTCTATACACACTCTGGGTCCTTTACACACTAGATCTCTTACACACACACACTGCACCACCTACACACACACTATATTCCTTGTAAGGAAAGACATACAACATTCTCTAAACACACCCTCTCTACAACCCCTACACACACTACGTCACCTATACACACACACTACTGCCCATATGCACACACTCGCTACATCCCCTATAACACTATGCCCCTATACACGCATTCTCTACAGCCCATAGCCACACATATTACACCACACATATTACACCTATTTACACAATACCACACCACACTCTACACACAGGCAATCCCACAAGCAGGCGCCAAACACATGCACCATACACTTTCCTGGCCCTTTTGTCCTCTGGTATCCCACTTGTGGAGACACCAGAGACAATTTAAAAGCAAACACAGCGCAAGCATGTTATTACATTTGCTTGCGCTGCGCAGAACAAATACAGGGCCTTTTTCTAATGCCAGAGCTCTTCAGCGGGGCTCTGCACATTGAACCAACATGCTCACTTTGAGAGGGGGCGTGCTTGTCATTAGTGATGACAAAACACACCCTCTCTGGCCCCGCCCCCTTCTTGGGGGGCCGCTCTAATTGAAAAATGCCCGGGCCTAATTTTTTTCCCAGTCCGGCCCTGCCTGTGGGACACGTCATCTGCCCACACTAGATAGCACTGTGAAATTCCCATGCATGCCCAGTTAAACACCTGGGCATGTGAACGGGAATTTAATCTATTCCTTCATTCATCAGAAAGACAAATGAATGAATAGAAATGTCAGACGAACAAACAAACACTGAATATCAGTGTTCGTTTGTTCGTTCAGTTTATTACAAGGAGGGAGCTACCAGCGCGCAGCTCCCTCCTTGTAAAATGTAAAGATAGAAGCGGCAGTACTCCCTGCCACTTTCAAAGCCCCCCCCCAGTTACCCCCTCACTCTATGGGGTCAATAGTATAAGGGAGATTAAAATCACCCGAATGCCCCTACTACCTATGGCGCGAGTAAGGGCATGTCTACTAAATTAGTGAGCAGCCTGTCGCTGCTCACTGTTAAAAAAACAAACACAAAAAAACCCTAGTACCCCACCCCGTCCCCCACTCCTGAGCGGTGGGTGAGAGCCCTAAATAACAATAGGGGGGACATATTGTCCTCCCCTTCCCCCACCCCTGAGCGGCAGGTGGGGGCCATAAAGGAAAATGAGGGGGGGACCTATTGTCCTCCCCCCCGTCCCCTACCCCTGAGCGGTGGCCATAAAGAAAAATGAGAGGGAGACCTATTGTCCTCCTCCTTAACCCCCACCCCTGAGCGGTGGGTGGGGGCCATAAATAACAATAAGGGGGGGCGGCCCTACTGTTTTCCGGGTTTTTTCTGTTTTTTTTCATTTTCGTCTGATTTCTTTTGCACTCTGGTTTTTTATTTTATTTTTTACAAGTTCGATGGGTCTTATGGTTTCTATTTGGCCTTTGTTTTATATTGTTTTTACAGGTAGTTAGTTCTTTTATTCCCCCCTCACTATTTTTAGGGTGAGGGGGGTATGTACGGGATTATTTTTTATTTGGGTTCTGGGGACCAGGGGCTTGGGGACCCCTAGTCACCTTGGAAGGGGGGGGGCATTTTCATTTAGGGCCCCCATCCATCGCTCAGGGATGGTGGACGGGGGGGAGGACAATAGCTCCCCTCCCCTTATTGTTATTTATGGCCCCCACCCACCGCTCAGGGTTGGGGGCAAGGGGGGAGGACAATAGGTCCTAGGGATTGACCGATATTGATTTTTTAGAGCCGATACAAATGTACAAAATATACATGCCACGTATAGTGGATGCAGTGTGTTTAGACAGGGGAGCTGCGTGTGTTTGTGTAGTGTGTATATATTGAATGAAGGGTGTGTTTGTGTAGTGTGTATAGTGAATGCAGTGAGTTTTTGTGTAGTGTGTATATAATGAATGCAGAGTGTGTGTGTTTTTATGTAGTGTGTGCATAGTGAATGTAGTGTGTGGTGTGTAAAGTGAATGCAGTGTGTGTGTAAAGTGAATGCAGTGTGTAGTGTGTGTATAGTGAATGCACTGTTTGTATAGTGAATGTAGTGTGTGGTGTGTAAAGTGAATGCAGTGTGTGTGTAAAGTGAATACAGTGTGTGTAGTGTGCATAAAGTTATTGCAGTATGTGTACTGTGTGTAATGTTAATGCAGTGTGTAGTGTGTGCATAGTGAATGCAGTGTGTGTATAGTGATTACAGTGTGTGTATATTGAATGTAGTGTGTGTATAGTGAATGTAGTGCGTGTATAGTGAATGCAGTGTGTGTATAGTGAATGTAGTGTGTGTACAGTGCATACAGTGTATGTATAGTGAATGTAGTGTGTGTATAGTGAATGCAGTGTGTAGTGTGTGTATAGTGAATGTAGTGTGTGTATAGTGAATGCAGTGTGTAGTGTGTGTATAGTGAATGTAGTGTGTGTATATTGAATGTAGTGTGTGTATAGTGAATGCAGTGTGTGTATTTTGAATGCAGTGTGTGTATAGTAAATGCAGTGTGTAGTGTGTGTATAGTGAATGTAGTGTGTGTATAGTGAATGCAGTGTGTAGTGTGTGTATAGTGAATGTAGTGTGTGTATATTGAATGTAGTGTGTGTATAGTGAATGCAGTGTGTGTATATTGAATGCAGTATGTATATAATGAATGCAGTGTGTGTTTCTGAATGGATGTAATTTGTGTAAAATGGAGGGGGGGGGGCATTTTTTATTTA